GTGAAGTCATAACTCCCGCTCACCAACGTGTCACCATGTGCTGCAATCGCTCGGACCGAGTGCTGATGACCTGTAAGAACACGAACAAAATACGGGCAATCAGTGTCGTCCGAGTGAGGTCCACTAGGATGATACTCAGGGTCATCAGGCTTCGGAAGTTTCCAGACCCGCAGATTGGAATCACGAGAACCTGTGATGATTAGTGGCTCTTTAGGCATCATCTCAGCAGAGCCATCGGCCTTTTTCCCCACTTCCGTTGGTAGGACAATTTGCAGGCAGCGTACAGTTGAGGTGTGCCCGTGAAAGACCTGGGTACACTTCGCTTTTTCTATGTCCCAAACTCTGACTGATCGATCGGTAGATCCAGAAACCAGAGTATTGCCGTAGTACTCGAGAGCCCAAACGCCACCCTCATGGCCTTCCAGGGTTGCTCTGAGAACACCAGTATTTGTGTCGAAAACATTAATATTTGTGTCATCACTTCCAGTCACAATCTTATCCGTGTCAAACTGCAAGCAAGTGACCACGTGATTACCGTGTGCCCCAAATGCAATATGTCTTGGTTTGACATCCGGTTTCATCCAAGCTTTGTGGATGGCATAATGACGCTGATACAGCGATTTGTAGAGATGAAGTCCTCGTAGGGTTGGCAGGCCTATCTCTGGGTATGGGATAGCGGCAGCGGCGGCATTCGCGGCAGCGTAAGGTCCTTCCGAGTTAGACACCTCTGTTCTCCAATCTGCGGATTCGGAATGATCAGTTCCGCTTGAAGAAATCTTCCTCTTTGTTAATTTCCGGCTTGAGACACGCGTGACGGCTTTCCTCTTCGGTCGACGACTAAAAGACAATGCCATGTCACTTGACTCCGCAAGAGATACCGCAGTCTTGTTGTGGCCGGACTCCTCATCAGACTGAAAGGATGGCAATGTACCCAAGTCTTTTTCATGGTCCTCGCTGCCGCTCGGGAACTGCCAGCCCCATCCTTCTCTGATTGCACGTTCCAGCTCTCCATCGGGAAGTTTAAAGCCATCTCGATCAAAGAGCTCTTTCCACGACTTCTCGTCAGAGTTGATGATATGTCGCCATCGTTTGGACACCTGCGCAGCTCGACACATGGTCTGAACATCGAAATATTTGACGATGTTGAGACTTAGCTCGGTCGGAAGAGCAGACAAGAAATCACACTTCAGGGCCGGATTTACAACGTCTGCAACAAACTGCAAGGTCGGTTTGGGACAACGTTTGAGCAGCTGATGCATGACATACGGTTTCATCGGATCGGGAATCGTGTCGAAAAATTCCAGGACTGCGGGAATCTCCATTAGCGAAGCAGACCGCTGCGTCACAGACGTCGAGGAGCTGCCGCCAGCTTGCTCAACGAACGTTGCCTTCGCTTGCACATTCCGTAAAGAACCTACCGCCTTGGTGTCATTATTGTCATAACTCGAATCCGTGTCAGCTTCTGGGTCTTCGGCAGAGTCAAACGAGGAATCAACGTTCATTGCGTTCATCGCAGCGACTGGGGACAGACTTGGGCTAGGCAAGCACATATCTTGTGCCACCACATTATCGATAAATGCCCGCTGTGACGCTGATTCGCTTGGTGGGTGCTGAGAATCGTCGTCCGGAGCACCATATCCAGAATCCTGACTTGCAGACGCCCCTAAGTGAGGTCGACTGAGGCTTGATTCCGTGTCACTCCGAGCTAACGGCCTGCTTCGGTCTGAGACGACGGTTTTGGTGCGGAACGGTTCTCTCCAAGTGTTGTTTCCTGAAAAAGTGCCCTGCGACTCAATCTCCGAGGACAACGGGGATCGTAGCAATGTCTCTCGGCGAGGATTACTCAGACTGTAGACCCTCCGTCTGGGAATGACACCCTCCCCCGCACTGTTATTGCTTTCCGTCTCCGGAGTGGCGAGGCCAGCCGTCATAGATTGTGCTTGCGTGGGGGCTTGAGAACGAAACGAACGAGCTGAAGGCTCGGACGGAACTCTTTGGGAAGACGCATGAGTAATACGGTGACTATTTTCGATAGCGCGACGCTTAGATATGGAGAGGTGGTTCAGGGGCTGAGAACGTCGGGCCAGTTGGGCATCATCTGAGGTAAATGAGGTCACGGATCGTACCGTACCATTTGAAGCGTTCAGAGCAACCGCCTTTTCGTTCAGCTACATGATTTATATCAGTATAATCATGATAAAATCAAGACAAGCGAATCACAAGGCGGAGATCAGACAAACATACCTCCTTCAGCTTGGCTGCCGTGTCTTCGGGCTCGTGAAAGATAACCTGTTTCCCACCAAGTTCGAACTTAATGTTTCTCAATGATGGAGGAGTAGGAGATGATGCTAAAGGATATAGTTTCGGGTCGAGATTCCGCATTGCGTGAGGCGGCCTTATGGACATGGGTGGAAAAGTGGTGGTCGTAGTGGTGGTGGTCGTCACAACCGTGGTTTGAGTGGCAGGAGCAAACGAGAATTGTCCTACGGCTGCTTTGGGAGAGCCAGGGTCAAGACCATGACCATTTTCGCGGTCCTCCATGGCGTGTTCCCAGAGTCCGGTGCTGTTGTAGGGACGGGGTTGCAGTGTAGAGCACGGTTTGAGAGTCTGTCGCGCTAAGACAGCGTGGTCAAGGCGGGATCAGGGTCGAGAGTGTGATGAAGTATGAGGCACCATCGAAGATAATCTCAGGTACTTTGCGAAGCTAGTGCGGGTGAACAGGATCTTTTTATAATGGGGCGAGGAATCGTAGTTTTGTGCGCGAGAAAGTCGGCTAGACTCTTGTCGAAGCAAAGTCGGTGTTAAAGAGGGTCGCCAACACGAAACACGCCCGTCAAAACCATTTGAGTGCCCAAGAGGATTGGGAAAGAGTCGTTAGAACATATCCGTGCCAAGCAAGGTCGACTGGAGAGAAAAGAGGAACAGAAGTGGTCAGAGGTGTAAGTAAAAGGAGTGGGTTGGGTAAGGTTGGAGAAGCTGTGGCGTGCTTTGCTGACAAGGAGGTTGTTGTGCGGAGAGTAAGTAAGTTGGGATGAGGGAGGGAGGGAATTAGAGGAGAGGGAGGAGGGAGGAGGAGGGAGGAGGAGGGAGGAGACAGGCTGGGCTGGAGCAGTGGAGTGGAGGAGAGAGAGGGAGGGAGAGGGAGTTGGAGGTGGTTGGCGGGCGAGTACCAGGTAAACTACTGGTGGTTTGGGTCGGTGCTTTCTTTTCTGGTTGGAAGTTTACTTGGTCAGTCTCACAGTCTCAAGTAACTAAACTTAACTAACTTAACCAAGTTAATCAAGTAGCAAACCCGACTATGGAAAGTAATCATCGAACCCGCACCTGGGCTACTAACGGAGTAATACTCAATCATTAACTAACATATTAAAATAGCTGAGTTAAGTTACAGGTGTTACTGTAAAAGTACTACTAAGTACAGTAAGTTAGTTCGTTCTTAACACCGACTAGCCCAATCTGGCCGCCTTCCCGAGGTCCTCGTTTTGGGGCGAAATCGTCATTTTCATTCTCCGCAGTTGCAGGTTTAGTGACGACAGAGCTTGGAAGAATGTATGGCAAATCAAGGGTTTTTGCAGGCCAAGTTTCTGATACGCAGTAAGCAGGTGGTGCAACTTTTACACATACTCCGTACACCGAAACTGCATTGAACAATGAAGAACAAGAAAGCAAACAACGAAGGAGGCGAAAATTCAAGAGGCGAGGCGGGCGGTTAAATTAGCTGCTGAGTTTTTTTTGCCGTCCTGCAGATTCAATTTGCCCAATGCCCGGAACGCTCTGTGACCTGAAGCCCAATCATTCTGGCTTGGGACATGCAGAATCATGGCATCGAATCGCGGGCGTGTCGGGATACTACAGTAGGTTCCTGTTTCCACCGCCACCAATACCTCTTATCCGCCCTTCATTATCGGTGCATATGACACTTTTGTGTCTTACTTTGTAGACTTGGTCGCTTTTGCTGCTTTTTCTGTCCGTTTGACGAGGACTCCTCGTGCAAGACTACATATAAGAAAACACTGAGTAAGACTGGGATCTTGCCACTTGCCTCGGAAACAGTACACGTGACATGGTGGGGGTCTTCAAGGGAGATGATATTGTTTTTTTTTTTTTTTCGCTTTATATTTTTTATTCTTTGCCATATTCTCTGAAGGCCGAAGCCATCAAGGTGAGAAAGTCGTCATAAAAGCGCAGAGTAGTATCTACCTGTATCCATCATTTTTTTGTGTGCGATCAAGGAAGAAAAGACATCGACATGTCAGACTTGCCAGGGACAATTGCGGGGAAGCGCCAGATAAAGTCAGACCGTCTCGCCCGCGTTATCGATCATCGATTGCCGGTTCCAGAGAATATTACTACTGTACAATAACTACGGTACAGCAGTTGACAGCCTCGACCGCAGGCATTCAATCACTTTTTGACCATTCAATTTTTCATCAATGACTACGGTAAGCAATAGGTAGAGGTTCAAGCTGATCGGTCTGGTTCTAGCCCTGTGGCAAAACTACCAATCACAGGTCGCACAGTAAGATTACTGTAGTGTTTGAATCACCTATGGTTGAATGGCTCCTTGATCAATACATATATTTCCCGTTGCGATCCTCCAGCGAAAGCAGTACCGTGTATCACCTTGGTTACCTTGATTAGGTGGAGATTGGCCAGAGAAGCTCCTACGAACTCACAGTAGATACTAGATAGATTGTACATTCTCCAAAAATTATTCATTATCATTAGGCGGGTTCTGCTGGCAGGAAAAAATGGTCTTCGCATTCCCCGTGACCCGGACGGTACTTTGGGTGTTGTCGGTCTGATGTCGTCAACCCGTCAAACCGTCAACTCGCCTTTGGTCGGTCTGCTTTCCCCGAAACATTGCTTGCTGCTTGCTCACCTGCAATGTTACTCTGCCTTACCGTGCTCCGATTCCTCCCTTTTCCCTGCGAACTCCTTCCATTGATCACACGCACCATACTGCATTCTTCAGATCATTCATCTTGCCGCTTGCCAGAATGGTCAGATTTAGGGACTCCAATCCGCTTTACCCCTCCGTTCAAGTACAACCTCCTCGCATCCTTCATGATGCGGCGGCGAGTAGCGGGCCCACAACCAATGTCCAGACCCAGACCGTCATTGGAGCCCCTCCAAGATTAGTGCTTAAAGAAAGTATATCGCAGCAGCAGCAACAAAGCTTGGAGATGGTTCAGATCATGCTGCATGTATCGGTAGGGCCTCAATGATCATACCCTTGTGGGCTTGTCACCGACATCCGCCTGACGCACCTGACTAGTTTGGTACCTTATTCTACCTTCGGTTCGTCGCGTTTCCGCCTCGATTCGCTATAGAACTAGAATCTCATAGATGTGTTATGCTGCAGGGAGTTCCTACCGCTTCCCTGTTTCGATGACAGGGACCTCAAGGAAACCCAGCGCGAAAGGAAATTCTCCTACCGCGAATTCCTCGACCGGAATACACCATGTCCTACACTAGAGTCTGATGCGCAGGTTCCCTTTGGCAAAGGCAAAAGGGGCCAGCCGCTCAAGATCATCCTTCGAGGCTCCGATCCCAAGGCGGATATGATCCTTGACATCTTGGTATGACTCCGTAGTCAATCGCGCATTACAGCATGTTGACATGCGCAGGAAAACGGCATCTTCGACGCTTTAAGCAAGAATGTGCTGGAAGCCGTCCAATTGACCGTCCTTGTCGACAAGGATGCCCCCGAGAATGTGCTCGAGTCCTACACGTTCTCCTTCAAATACTCTGGAGAGTCTGGAGATATCAACCACCGTCTCGAAAGTCTGTCGATAGAACCAGTGGGACTAGTTGCTGACATCAAGACTGCCCAGTCAGCCAGAGTAGGCTTGGAGACGATTGTGAGGCGGCTGATCACGTTGAGTGCCTTCTTACCAGCTCTTCCAAGTCAGTATCCTCAGCTCATTCGAAGGGGGAAGCCGCTAACAGAAGTGAATCCAGACAAACGCAATCTAGGGGTTCATTTGTTCTATACTGATAATTGCCCTCCTGAATATGAGCCTCCGGGATTCAATGGGGCGAAAGATGACACGATCAAGTTTCCCCATTCAGAAAACTGGAGAAGAGAGTCGCAATCATGCGGTATAATGGATAGTGGATGGCATACGTAAGGGGATTCGTAACCCTTGTGATGGCTAAGTAGCTGATTATGTTCAGTGTGGGACTTAGGGTATCTTCTATGAAGTGGACTGGGCCTGAACCAGAAGGCTCAGAAGCTCTGCCCCAAATACCACCTGATCTTGAACATACGGATGTAGTTCAGAGAATGGATGATGTGGGATTTCGAGAGAAGGAGAGCGAGGCCGCCATCAACGTGGTCGAAAAGAGCAACAACACCAATAAAGATGGTTCATCAACCCGGGACCATGTTGTATCATCTACGCCATCGCAGAAAGCTGATGATTCTGTGGAAACTACCCAGGATGCTGCCGAAAGGCTGCAGTTGGAAGGAATGTTGCGAGTGAGTGAATTCTGCCTGAGACATGACAAATTTCCTTAGAAAGGCTACTAACAAGCCCAGACTCAAGAGTCAGGCTCTCAATTCGATAGTGGCCTGTCTCCTACACAGCCTATCGCCCCTGAAGCGCGTCCCCAGTCTGGGGAACCAAGCAGTATACAACCAGTACAAGTTCCGAAGCCAAATCTTTCAGATGAAAGTGTTCGTCACATTACGGAGTATTTGAAAGCTCATGGCTTGGATGCTCCTCGAGCTGAAGAAGGCCAAGGCACCGTGAGGTGTCAATGCGGCTGGGAAGGCGAAGAAAAAGCGAAATCCATGGTAGGTGGTGAGCCAGATGGTGTTAAAAACACAAAAGAAACTAACGTTGGTAGATCGAATGCTCTTTCTGCCACTTGTATCAGCATTTGTCCTGCTACGGATATAAAGATAGCGATGATGCCAGATTACCTAATGTCCACGCCTGTTATCGTTGCCTCCTGCAACCCAAAGAAGGCCAAGTACTCCAGGAAATGACCAGCCTGGTTCTTCTAAGAAGAGCCATCCAGATCATCCAGACGGAGGGCTACCCGAATCATACGTCGGTCTTCACCGAGAAGCTTCGTGAGTGGATCAATTATACTTTTGATACCATAATCTGACTGCGTGTAGACTGCAATGGACAGACCGTCATTCAAATGACGGAGCTGCTCAGAAAGCGCGAGCTCCTGGAAGCGACACCGGGATACAAAAGCAAAGGGTTTTCGCGCAGAGGCTTGCCAAAGTTCTTCATCCCAGCTTCGGAGGATGTCCAGCGGACAATCGAGGAAGAAATTCTGGATCCGATGCTGAAGATCCGACACCACGTAAGTCCGCTCTTACTTGTTGTGACTTCCAACCGTGCTTAGTGTACTACAGTATATCTGGCCCGATGGTTCGGGACCGCCTACTGAAGCGACAAGGTCCTTGATCGATAAAGATGGGGAAGCAAACACCGAGGACAGGGACTCGCAAAAGGAAAGCTTAGATTCCGCGCTCAAGCCAAGGGAACAGCGCGATACAGAGCCGCCGGAAGAAATCGTAACGGTTACCGGGAGCCAGACTCGAAGTCGCAAGAGGAAACAGTCCTTGCCTGTTCCCAAAGAGGACAGTGCACAGCCCGAACAGTCGACACCAGACCGTCCGAGTGGCAGAGTCACAAGGTTTAGCAGTCGAAGGGATAGCTCCCAACAGACCCACAGAACTCCGCGCCCAAAGACACCGACGACGAGAGAGACGAGCGAGGGTAGTCTTCGAAGGAGTGGCAGAAAGCGACGTAAGATCAGCAACTACTCCAAGCTCATTGATGTTGGGGCCGACGAGTTCGATGTCTGAACAATGCGACTCGTGAGGTCTCACTAATGGGATGTGATGTGCAAATGCTCATTACCCCCCTCGAAGACCATGATTAGTCGGATCAAAACCTTCAACCTCGAGGTAATACACACCGGTCATGTTATTTATAAAGTGAAACGAGGACCCTGAGTCATGACAAGCTTTCGACCCAGGGTCTGGCTTAGGGTCTCCGGCTAGCTTTCATGTACGGTTAGGATGTTTCGAAATAAGGTTATTGCACCCTTCCCTGTCTCAACCCCCCACCCCACGCAGTGGCCAGAAAGAGCTCAAACCCACGAACAGGAGGGGAATTGGGGTTCTTTTGCAGAAACAACACAAGAGTTTGATATCGCGTGAAACGCGCATGGTTTGAGACGCAAAGATGGGGTGTTGCTTGAGTGGGTACGTCTTTATTCGCACGGTGGTCTATGTACACCTTGCAGGCAAAGCTTGTTATGTTTCAAAAAAATCTACTATGAGCATAGTAGTAGCAGTATGATATTCTGTCAAGTTTCTATGACAAAAGCGAGTCGGTTTCTTATCTGGGTCATTCGTTGCAGGAGGTGGATGAATGACCTTCTTTTCGTGCCATCAGACTCGCAGTAAGCTGTTTCCGAAAGCTTCCCGGGCCTCGTATAGTAAGCCACAAAGAAAAGACCAACTCAGCTAGTATGTGATCGAGATTGACATGGAAAGCAAGGATCACTTCTCATTCTACCTAGTACCGTCCTGCTGGTTTACCACTCCAACCCCGGCAACCGAAAAGAGCAAGGCATTGAACACTTAAAAGCGCAAAGGAACAATGGCCGACTCGATAGCCAGCACCAAGCACTGCGTAGTTATCAAGACCCCTAAAGGTACTTAAGGTATAGTACACCTAGCAGTCATCAATACCAACCTGAACAACCACACATCGACCTCCAGTGCTCCAGTGGTCATATCCCTGGCTTTCCTTTCCATTCCAACCCGTATCTTATACGTCTCAATGAGCGTCTATAATGCCCGTTGTCACCGACACAAGACCAAGCTCATTCTTGATCCATTCACCCCACTCTACCTCTAAAGCGTAGCAGACGCATGCGAGGTCGTCGTCGAGTACGTACCCATACCAAATATCCCCTTTGATCCTCCCCCCCCCTCCACACACAAGCGAGCATTCATCACAAAGCCGCCAATGTCCCTATTCCTCTTCACCCCTCCTTCCCCCAATCCCAAACCTATAAACCTCAGTACCACCATCGCCAACACCCCGAAACCGTACCATCGCATGAGCCCGGAAGATGCGAAAGCCCCACCTAGCAAAAGCGACGCCGATCAAATACCCAGCCAAGTACTGGCGAGGATCACCAGAGCGCCAAAAAACGGGGATTTTGGCGTGGGGAGAGGGGGGACGAAGGTACAACAAATTTGGGATTTCGGTCTTGATCGTGGATCGGAAGGCTCGTCATGCCCGCAGCAGCAGGTTCGTGGGCGAAGCGGCACGGACTGACAACTTTTTTGGCCTTTACTTGTACTATGTAGTAGTCTATCTTACATCTGGTGCGTTTAGGGTTTGGGATGTCTCCATGACGATTGAGCCGTCATATTCGGAGCATTTGCAGAAGAGGGGTTAGATTCGTGCGGGCAGCGGGGACTACGGGATGGGAAGAGGTGGGAAGTGGGTAGGGAATTCGGGAGAGAGATTTGTTTTTGGGATAGGGGATGGCGGGAGAGGATGAGGTTGATCATCTTTTGGAGAAATAGCCACCAGGGGATTCTCTTTTTCATTTTCTTGTGCTCATGGTAGGTATGAAGTAGGCTAGCTGGGTTCATGGAGCGGAGTCCCCCCACGATTCGTAGATAATCGGTAGTTTTGGTACCGGTAGGAGTACTGCCTGTTCGAATCTATCGTTTGATTCATCTGGATCATTATTTTGTCCATTTTCCAAATCCTCCCTTCGCGAGGAAGGGGGTGGACCGACAACTTGAAAAAAACATCCTGAGAATCATGTCAATTCGGCATAGGGCTCGTCGATCAGGGGTCTAAACCCAAAGGTTCCAGCGGTTCGGGAGCCAAGTCAGCGAATAGTCCGCAAATGGTCCCTTATGCCTGAAACTGGTACTATCGACCATCCAAAACTCATTTGACGTGCGGATTGAGTTTATCATTTTCTGGAGAATGTGGCTGCGTCTTACTATCTCGGGTTATCGCTCCAGGAACTGGACATCGTATTGCTGGAGTTCGTGGGGAAACTCTGACGCTTGGCTCTTCCCGTCTGTTAGGTCAGCTCATAGCAGCGTCAGCACGAGCCGCAGTGGACACAATTGTGTTCGTAGCAGAGAACCAGATTTGTCATATGTCCTGCCTGTCGAGCTGCGGAACTGGCTCGGCAAGTGAGTGGCATTGAATGGGAGACTAATTCGGTAAAAGATAGCCGGACAGACGGACGGCAGCTTGGCAGATAATCGATCTGCATACTAGTACTGTACTGTATTCCTTAGCAAACGAGGTACGGAGTATGCTGCATGAAATACTGACATGCATTCTCAAGCAGATTGACCTCACCTCAGCAGTGGCCATGGCGAGAAACTGATAGCATGAGATGAAAGCTAAGAAAACTGTTGAGATTTGCATCTCATCGGCCCCTTCGAAGGCCTCAAATTCAACATTGTAGGCGGCACAACCTTGACCTGATCAATCCCGCCGTCTGTCCCGATTTAATTGGAGCCAGTGAGCCAAGTCCATCCCTGTGATAACAAGACTGACTGCCACTGGCGTCATCATACCCTCTCCATGCTGCCAACCGCATATGAGTAATTCCTCTGCATGTACATGCAAATGAGGGTTCGGCGAGACGCCATCTCAGCGTCGTTCCATGAAAATATGTGCCAGAAGGCCATCGATCATTGTTGACTATTCAATCGCCATGCATCTAAGATTTGAGATTAAGCCTTTGGCTACCCAATGACGAACGACTGATGTCTAGTTCGCCGCTATCTTGCCTCCTGATCGGTAGTGGCGCACGGCTGTAGACAGCATGTGAATGACGAGGATGTCCTAGATATTCCAATTAGAGTAGAGATGGGCAGGTTCGTGCTTGCTCAGGATCGATATCATCGACCACTATTGAATCGGAACTTCGATGACCCCACCAGCACGACGCCGGGGTATGATGCTGGGGCGCGGGACGAAGATCAGCAGCAGCGAACATTCCCATTGGGAGGAAGAAACCAGCTAAGGGACGGCTGAGAGGCTGAGGGCAGGCGAGGAGGTTAGGTAGTTCTTCGAGGCAAGGCTTTCTTTCCACTGTGCGCAGTGTGCACATAATCAGCAATTTCCATGGATCATCGATCATCGACGGAGTGGTTGGCAGAACCCGTGGAGCAACGACTAGCCGCTTTTAGCCCCTGACTTTTAAGTTCAGGAGGATTTTTGCCCGCTGCCGACACAAACTTGGTATGACATGACAGCGCGACAGTTTGCGTTTCTGAAATTTGAAGTCCTGATACACAAGTTGGTGTTTTACTGGTGTATGCAGTCCTCATGTATGCGCACCGGCCCTTATGATGCATTGCTCGAATGGCTGCAATTCTTCCCCCTCTTCTTGACTTGAGGAAAGGAAAAGACCGGGCTTCGTTTGTTTATCCCCAAATAGTCCACGTAGGCACGTGTGCGGCCGCGCGCCTAAACCTTTCCGTATTTATTATTTATTCCCCTGGAAAAGGAAAAAGAAGAACACTATTGCCTCTAGAACCGCCCCTAGAAAAATGCAGAAGACGGGAAGGAACACATCCTTGAAGAGACAAAAAGAAAGAAACTTTAACTAAGGTAAGGGGTTACGCTATTATGGACTTGTCACTTCGACTGCATCTTCAACTAACTTGCTCGCTCACACAAGTCCTTTCTCATCATGACAACCGCTTACCAGTTCCCAGTTCCCAGTTCCCATGGAATTTTTACCCGTCGCCCCGTTCGGAACCCCTGGACTTCAAGACATCAATTTCCAGGTAATCAATTTCTTGCATTGTAGATTAGTCGTTCAGGACTCCGGACTCCGGAGCTTGGATAGTATAGCACTCATGTCCAGTACTCACAGCATAATCCCTCATGCGCTGATTCGGATTCCGGAACTCTGAGTCTCTCACGGACCTCTACGGCCCCATAAGAGACCGACCTCAGAGCCCAGACAGAACCTGTGGCACAATTCCTCGTACTGGCTTGGAACGGCCTCCAATTGCAACATGACGAGGAGAAACCAATTCCTTTCTGAATCCTGTACTTGCCTCGATGGGGCATCGCTTGCCCCGGGGACCCATCATGAGTTATCAAATTCTCATCACCGGGTATCCACGAACCCACCCCTCAAGTTCCCCTCTCAGCGGCCACTTAGCGATCTATGGAGCCATGGTTGAGGGGTGCCTGTCGATTGTTACTGCTGTTGTACGATGCTCCAATTCCACTCACCATTCGTTCTCCCCTGATTGTGATGGTCATGGCCCAGGGCTTGCTTCTTGACATTCGTTGTCAGGCTCTCATGCTCCACATCTACGATTTGAGTTGCTAAAAGAGAACCTTTACACCTTTCAAGGCATCTTTGTTTGGGTCTGGAAGTTGTCCATCCGGACTTGCTCCCTCCTAGTTGTTGGCCCATGCTACTAGATTTAGACACTACTGGCGCCTCCTTCCAGTATTTCTGTCTTCAGTGTCCCACCCCTTTACCGATAGTAACTCTCTACTACTGTTTTACAGTGCTCTCTGCACCGTGATTAATAGTTTAAATATACGGTTTTTAATTTTTTGATTTAATTTTTGTTTTGTTTTATTAAACAAATTTTTTTCCATAGCGCCTGCTATTCCCTTTAGGCTTTGACGGCCGAACCCTCCTGCGCCCGGTCAATCTTCTGCACCGGCAGTCCTTCAAAAGCAGTTGAGGATCCTCTTCTTGGTGCTCTGCACTTTTTTTGGACAATAGCTTCACTCGTTCACCTTTTTTTCCTCTCTCTTTTTATTCTCAAACCGCAACACATTTTCTTCCATAGTCGAACCACCTACTTCACGACTCTGACCTGTTTCCCTTCTTATCTTACTTTCTTTAACCTTATGCCACGGACCCCTGCCCCTACATATTGTGGCGTTCATAGGGTCAGGTACCAGCAACCATTCGATTTCCAGACCGCCTATTCAAGCATACTCGGAGTATAGCATTTGCTAGCGAGACGTTGGAAGCCGGAATACGTTGTGACCAAAACGGTAACCATACCAGGCGAACAAGGAGTTTCTGACGGCACACCGACTTACGCTCGTGTGGGGAAGACACAATCGGATCCGGACACAAGAGCTAAAAAGGATTCGAGGCCTTCCACCTTGAGCTTCGAGTCTCTATCCCAATCTCACTGTTGCATGGAGAGACGATTTATGTGGTTACTCCAAGCTAGCGCTGCAACGAGAGTAAAGTAGTCCGATTGCAACTGTCACAGACCGAACTCATGAACTCGGGCGATCGAAACTTCTTACCCAGCGGACCATTGAAAGTTACTGAGAAGAATCGCCAAAATGAATCCAACTCCCAGTGGGAAGCTTCCGGCAACATTGAGTCAGGATGATCTGAGGAACGAGAATTCCTCAAAGGCCTATAAGATCTTGGGAGCCGCTGATATTCCTTCTCGCGATGAATTCCCGAGCCGCGACGACAAGAGAAGATCGAAAAAGCCGACCTTCAGACGATCTCCGGAGGTAAAGTCACAAAAGAGTGGGAGTTTCGTTCCCTTTCCGACCGCCGGTTCAGAATCCACTCTTCCACCAGCTCATCTCCGTGTTCGAGCCTCATCCCCGCTGTTGGGGCAGGAATATCGATTGGAAGATACTGCCTTGCCTGCTGTACCAACAGCCTCGAAGAGACTTCACCTTACTGGCTCCTCATCGGCCTTATTTTCCTATTTTACCTCCAAGGAATCAACGACGGACTCGAACCCGTTCCTTGGAGTTGCAACCAGTAGCTCTGGAAACAACGAAAATCGCAAATCAGAGTCGCGGCAACATGCAGAACCGCGCCATGGACTGAAACAGCCCAAGGAATCCATGAGGGACTCGCGCAAGAAGATGCGTCCGCCTCGGATTGATCTTTCAATGCTGTTCCCCAAGCCACGGGCGAATGCCGCGCCTCTTCTGTCCCCCCAGCGGATGGTAGATTCGCCTTCGCCCATCTCAGTGACCTTCGAGCAGGCTACTACCAACCCGGAAGACACCCAGACCCAAGATTCCTCTCAAAAGCCATCAAAAACGCCGCATCATCCGAAGACATCTATTCTGAAAGTAGCCAACCACCACGCTCAAGAACCATCCACTAAGTACAAGATGAGAAGCTCAGATTGGTCAGATTCTTCCTTCGAGAAGACCGTACGCACCAATGAGATGGACCTTGCTTTGCAAAGGTATAGCGACATGGAACATACCGCCCGGCCGTCCGAGCGATTGCATGCACAGTCTCAGAGCCGCGACAATCACGTGTTAAAACGGGATTCGAAGTCGACCGAGCAGGACTCGCGAGACCTATCATCCAATAGTTCCGTGAGCGGATGGAGCAGAGAGTCCTACTTATCTCCTAAAACCCGCTTTCCTGCAAAAGCTTATCGTGCCTCGAATGCTGGGCACAATGGAGCCAACGCGAAGAGTTCAATGCCCAAGAAAACCAGCAAGAGTACGTTGAGAACGGCGGATCTCAACCAGTCAAGCGTTCTTTGTCTGTCTTCGTCAGAGGACGAAGAGGAAGACGACGACGAAACCTATCCCAAGGGCCATTCTGATGCAAGTGCGAGAAACAGTGTGGCAACTTACGGCGAGTGTGAGCCTGAAATCTGCACAGCTTCTGCAGCGCATACCACTAGAGGCACGCTGCGAGACATCGACCGGCCAATATCTGGCATAAGTCGTGGATCGCAATACAGTCAGAGGAACCAATCTCTTCGTCGAAACCCCTCCATGTCGTCAGCGGGAAGATCATCAACAGCCACTAGGAAGAGTCAGTCTCGCCGATCAAGTGGTATCCCCACCATTTCTGAGCCCGAGTTCTTCCATGGAGACCCTATCTTCAGTCAGTCAAAGACTGCTCCGCGCACTAGAAACTCGATGACTGCACAGAAAGAGGCCAACAGACGAAGTCGAGTCATTGCGGTGACGCGGCAAGAGGAACATCTTCTAGAAGCCATGAGACAGCGACAAGGCAAAATCACGCCCAGTCTCTTCAACGAAGTCCGTGTTCCGGAACCCGATCAGGGATCTATGCTTTCCGTGCCTTCACGCGATTCCTTCTATGGCACGGACATGTCGTTCCTACGCTTGAGCCCGGCAGTTTCGGCTATATCGAGCCAAACCATGCAGCAAAGTGATCGGGAGGGGCTGGTGTTTCAGAGTAGTTCTTCTGATGGAGAGCAGAAAACTGTTTGGTCGTTCCCCTCGCCTCGCACCAGTCTTGCATACTCCGAGAGCCTTCCATCCCCCGTCACTAGCGGAGCTTCTCCCATAACACCCACGCATCCTTTGCAGCGTTTCTCGGCCCTTCCAACGCAAAAGCCGCCGCCTATGCGTCCACCTCCGGCTGTGCCCAAATCACAGCGACGACACTCAAGGAGACGCACGGATAGTAGCGAAGCGATCATCCTGGAGGAGTCGAACGAGGTGCCCCAGAGCGAAGACTTTCCTATCTGGGCTATCAGGTGGAACAACGAGAACAGTAACGTGACGGCTGTCCACTAAAGCTCGATGTCTTGGAAGCACTTCAGCTGTCTTCTAAGTTTATGAAAGCGATGTCCAACAACTTCAATTCAACGCTCGATCATACTGCATCATTCACTCGCTTGATGCATCTCATAACTATCTATTTACCCACCTGAACACTCGTTGCTTTCTCATTGATACCTAAACTGTTGTCGTTTTGTATGTAACTTGGCGATATGATACCAAATGACTATCCTTTAACAACACCGATCGCTGGCTCATTATTGCCTACTCATGTATATATTCCTTTTGACAGATTAGAGAACGGGTGGTACGGTGTACCACCAAATCAAATGACTTCAAAATTGAACCATGGTTTTCTCCTGCATGCGTAACGTGGTCTGTTTGATTGCGTATAAGACGAAAGAACTGTGGCTGCGAATTTGCACGAGCGTGGTTTGTTTGTGTATGAGACGCGCCCGCTTGTTGCACCCATTCAAAGTCCGCGATGAAAGGCTAAGGAGGCAGCCCCTGAAGCCGGCATATACCCACCGGGCTTGTCGAATGGTAGCCAGGCACGTTGGAAAGTACCACATCAAGGCGAGTGGCGGTGCCTGGATTGGAGATGTGGTAGCTTGCCAAGGTGCCGAAGGCAGGGTTTGTCTGTTCGGAAGGATTCTCTGTCAATCGACGCTAGAATGGATATGTGTAGTTGTTCATATGGCAGTAGCATGGGTGGGTGTGCGCTGATGATGAGCATGGATCGACGTTAAAATGGTTACTGCTATGTCTTAGTGTGACGTCAGCTGCCATTCCTCAGGGGAGGGGTGGATGAGAGATTAGCGAAAGGTTGACCCAAAGAATTGAGTTGAAGGCTGGAAAGTGGGAAGTGGGCAGCAGTCAGTGGGAACCTCTAAGCTATGAGTACGCAGTACGCTCCCTACGTAACCTATGGACTGAACCGAGACTGAGGGACTAGACCGCCACAGTTGCTGCTGCTCAGCTGCTCAGTGCTTTCAATTCCCCCCCTCCCGTGACCCACACCGCCCAAACAAGCGTCTCGACAATACCCCGGACTCTCTTATTCTCTTGTTCACTCACCCACTCCAGGCTTGCTTTCCTTGCCTTTCTTCCTTTGTCCTTTGTTCTACGGAGGGTACTCTACTTGAACTTTACACCTTAATATCCTACCCTCCCATTTTCACCCTCACGAACTAGTGACCCTTCCTCTACCTGCTTCTCGCGACTCACTCGATCAGGCCTCGGTTTGCTGGCGGACTCACGGCCCAGCGCGCACAAGCTCCCGCTACCCCCTCCCCCTCCGACAAACGACCGACGCGTGCACATTTCGCTCAAGAAAATCTCCGCCGCAGTCGCTTACAACTAATTCAGTCTACGCGACGTGAGAACATTGCTGCAGGGCAGCCTATACAAGACTGCTAGTGTTTTACTCGAAGCTCAACCACAGACAGCGCAAGTGCTTTCGAGGACGAGTTGACTAACATCACTATGGGAGAGACCGCAGCGCGCCGGTCTGCAGGACTGGGAACAACCATGAAGAATGCTTCTTGGGTCCTAGTAAGATCTTCATCTACCCTTTGTTAAAAGATTGCTGCGCGCCTGTGCTTTGCGCTCAGCGTCATCCTTGCTGGGCACGCCCGTTAACTATGTGTTCTGGTCTAGTTGGCGGCACAGTATACTGCCTTTGTGTTGGTAAGTTCACCATGTCACTCAATGCTCTGCAGCTGTAATGGAAAGCTAAACTTCTCCTTGTAGTTATCGCATTATTCTAGGGTCATGCCGCCAGCTGGCGGCAGACGGTATCTGACGTCCACCGCTGTTTTCTTCAACGAGGTCGCCAAACTCGCCATCTCCTTGACTATAGCCCTGTACGAGGTTTCGAAGACGGCACCACCTTCGGTTCCCGCAACGTCGCTATTCTTTTCGCTCACCTCCGCCGTGTTCTCCGGCGATAGTTGGAAGCTCGCAATCCCCGCTTGTCTCTATACGATCGCCAATTCTTTGCAGTACATTGCACTCTCGAACTTGCAAGCTGCCACTTTCCAAGTCTCGTACCAGCTGAAGCTTCTGGTAACGGCCATATTCAGCCTTTTTGTCTTTAGAAGGTCGATCTCTCTCCGCAAATGGGGTCTGCTGGTACTCCTTGTGATTGGGGTTGCACTGGTGCAAATCCCCAATGGCAGCGTCGACGAGGCTCACTTCGATGAAGCTGCGCATCTTTCTTTCCCCCGGTCGTTGGAGGAGTGGAAAGCTGCCAAGCTTGGACGTGAAAATCTACACAAGCGTTCCGCAACTTACGAAGGCATTGAGGAGGATATTCTGACTGCTAATCCTCGCTTGAACGGAACAATTGGTCTCTTGGCTACTGTAGGCGCCTGCGTTGCCTCTGGTCTAGCGGGGGTATATTTCGAAAAAGTCATTCAAGACAGCGCGAAGGCGACATCTCTTTGGGTGCGCAACGTTCAACTGGCCGTTTACTCTATCTTCCCTGCACTGTTCATCGGCGTCGTATTTCTGGACGGTGAGAAAGTGGCAGCCAATGGGTTCTTCGATGGATACAACTGGGTCGTTTGGTCTACTGTTATTATTCAAGCCCTGGGAGGTATTGCCACGTCTTTCTGCGTTGGCTATGTCTACAGAGATGCGAAGAACATTGCTACGGCTGCAAGCATCGTCCTCACAACGCTAGCGAGCACCTGGCTCTTTGAGTTTGAACTCACTGCAAATGTACGCCATCATCCCCTTCGCTTACTGAGATGAGAACTAATGTTGATGCTTGCAGTTCCTCCTTGGGTCTTTCGCAGTACTAGTGACTACTTGCCTCTGTGAGGAGTCAAGCGCCAACTCTGTCAAGGCTCAACGACAGACGCTGCGTCCGCCCCCCATTCGAGTTGACCGCTATGAGAAGGATAATAAGAGTGGTGAGGCTTCGCCTGCCTCGCCATCACCCAACGAAATATCTATCAAGCTTCCTGGAACACCATTCTTGTCCGATGCCGGCCTCTCCACATCGAGACCTACATCACCGGGCCATGTACGCGTTAGTGCTGGCCGCACTACAAGCGGAGGTTACTTTGAGAAGCACCCTCGGGATCAATGAGTCGAGGGTGCGATTAACAGTGTTTTGATAGTGGCTTTTGAATTGGCGCTACACTGTATCATGGTTTCAGGAAGTAAATATGGATGGATAGAAGCGGTGACGCCTGTTACGTTCTCGACGGAAAATGCCTCAATTTCTTGTACTCTATGGTCGTTCTTCTACCTTGTTGATTATAGCTGGATAGGATTCTCAAATCCCATGTTTTTATACACCGTGCATCTGCACCATATGCAGCAAAAGTATAGTAGCTTATCTTTCATCATCCACGACATACAAGGCTGATGTACAAGACATTGTACATCATCCTGGCTGATTTGGGGGTGGCTGTGGGCAGTCACATGTCTCCTATCAAGTCTCCTTTGGGGAGACTAGTACCTATCCTCTATATCTTTCCGTATAGCCTCGTCCGTCCTCATTGATATCTCTTCCCTTCGTGGCAATTGTTGGTATGAGGTATCGTATATCTAGGCAACATGCGGCGTGATCGATATCAGTTTAAGCCCTCACCCAGGCAGCAGACCTTGTCCGAGCGCAGAGCAGAGCTACTCCTGCGAACAACGAGTCGGTTCCGTCACCACCATGCTAATCATATGTTAGAAGAGGGCGCTCGAGTCTCACCATATTTCAGCAGTCAGGCTCAACAGACTCCCGAGAGTTATCTTTCTGAGAATCTTCACACGCCTCCATTTGACGATGTCCAGGAGCTTGATGCATTTGGTGAGTCGTGATAGTACTTTCAATCGTATTCTTCGTGGGTCTAACGTCAATAATTATTCAATTAGATCTTGAGCTGCTAGCGCAGTCAAATGTACAGACACAAGGTGTTCTCCAGCCGAATGCGCACGGTGATCACTACTCAGCTTCAAATCGCTTCGAGTCGGTTGTTCATCCTCGAGCAGCTCGATATCCTCATGGTCAGTATACTGGTACGGAGATATCCAGAAATGGCAATCTGATGGTATGGCAGACGTGCTTCAGGTGTCACCTCAAGATGCAGGATCCAGCTCCTCGGGGGTAGGAATAAGATCCCCGTCGAGTCCCTTGCTCAGACTGCAAGCCCAACGGGGCACCGTGAACCGGATCCCAGAATACCCAAATGACACCCGAACGGAACTTGAACCTCTGTATCGTGCTAGCCCTAGTGCTGAACAACTGTCGTCCTCAATTACTGCTTCTGGGCATTCGGTACATTCACAGCTAGGGCAGATCAATAATTCCCCTCGTTTCCCTGCGTCTGTTCGGGGCATTGTCCTTGTATCGGTGCATGAGCTTCCCGATAAATATCGCGCCATATTCCCTTTCCCGGTCTTCAACGCAATCCAATCCAAGTGTTTCCAATCCGTTTACAGGAGTGACCACAACATCGTCCTTTCAGCCCCAACAGGAAGCGGGAAGACCGTGATTATGGAGCTGGCGATATGCCGATTGATGAGTACATCCAAGGACGAAAGGTTCAAGGTGATATACCAAGCGCCCACCAAGTCTCTATGCTCGGAAAGATTCCGAGACTGGAATGGAAAGTTCCTTACCTTGGGACTGCAGTGTGCTGAGCTGACCGGCGACACCGATCACACGCAGCTGAAGAGCGTGCAAAACAGCCAGATCATCATCACCACCCCCGAAAAGTGGGACAGCGTGACCCGGAAGTGGAAAGATCATGCACGGTTGATGCAGCTGGTCAAGCTGTTCCTCATCGACGAGGTTCACATTCTCAAAGAAGCCCGAGGAGCCACACTCGAGGCCGTCGTTTCCCGTATGAAGACCAATGGTTCGAATGTACGGTTCGTTGCCCTGAGTGCGACAGTGCCGAACTCTGAGGACGTTGCGACATGGCTTGGTCGCGACGCGACAAATCAGCACCTACCCGCGCATAGGGAACGCTTCGATGAGAGCTTCCGTCCCGTTAAGCTGCAAAAGTTCGTCTATGGCTATCGGTCACAGGGCAATGACTTTGCCTTTGACAAGATGTGCAACACCAAGTAAGCCAAGCCGACTTATGTCGCATTTTGCGAGTCTTCGTTAACGTCATGATTGCAGACTTCCTGATCTGATCAAGGCGCATTCTTGTAAGAAGCCCATAATCGTTTTCTGCTGCACCAGAATCTCTGCCGTCTCGACGGCGAAAGAGCTTGCTCGACTGTGGTCAATGTCCAATCCTCCTGCCAGACTATGGAAAGGAGCAAGCAGACCTCTGGGGGCCCAGAATGAAGACTTGAAGGGTAGGTTCTGACCCAGAAGACATGAAATCACAGTCCATGATGCTGAACATTTGAGCAGGGATATTGACTGCCGGTGTCGCCTTTCACCATGCAGGCCTTGATGCTGTTGACCGGCGCACAGTTGAAACAGGGTTTCTTCAAGGGCATATCAGCATTATATGCTGCACGTCCACTCTCGCAGTCGGCATCAATCTTCCGTGCCATCTCGTGGTCATCAAAGGCACCGTGGGCTGGCAAGGGGGTGGCTGTCAGGAGTATTCCGATATAGAGATCATGCAGATGCTCGGCCGTGCGGGTCGACCACAGTTTGACAACAGTGCCACAGCGGTGATCATGACCAGAAAGGAACGCGAGTCTCACTACGAGAAGCTTGTCTCGGGATCTGAGAGCCTTGAGAGCTGTCTGCATCTGAATCTGATTGATCACCTTAACGCAGAGATCGGGTTAGGTAATGTGGCTGACATTAATTCCGCCATCAGGTGGCTGGGGGGCACATTTCTGTTCGTGAGACTCAGAAGAAATCCAGCACACTACCAGCTGAAAGAGACTGCAGATGGAGATGGGGAAGATAAGATGCTTCGACAGATCTGTGAGAAGGACATTACACTTCTCCAAGAGTATGGGTTGGTCACAGTTGATGGCCTCCAATCAACCAGTGTCGGGGAAGCAATGGCTCGCTATTACGTGCGGTTCGAAACAATGAAGCATTTGCTCACATTGAAGCCCCAGTCTACTGTGTCACAGATAGTAAGTCAAGGGCGTTGGATGTGCATGTTAGAGCTGAGACTAAACAATCAAAGCTATCCGTCGTCGCTCAAGCGGACGAATTCCTGGACGTTCGTCTCAAAGCCGGAGAGAAGTCTCTCTACAAGGAGATCAACCGCTCCAATGGGATACGCTTCCCCATCAAGGTCGACATAGCGCTTTCAGCCCACAAAATTTCGCTTCTGATCCAGTCCGAACTGGGTGCGGTGGACTTCCCGGACGGCGAACAGTTCCAGAAATTCAGATTTGTCTTCCAACAGGACAAGAGTTTCGTCTTCAGCCACATGAACAGATTGATTCGGTGCATCATAGACTGTCAGATCTCCCTTGAGGACGCGGTGACCTTGCGAAACGCCCTGGAGCTGGCAAGGAGTTTTGGGGCCAAGGTCTGGGATACCTCTCCGCTACAACTGAAGCAGCTTGAGCAGATTGGGATCGTGGCGGTCAGGAAACTGGCCGCAGCTAATATCACAAGTATTGACGCGCTGGGGCAATGTGAGCCGCATCGCATTGACATGATCTTGAGCAAAAATCCTCCCTTTGGCGCGAAGTTGCTGGAGCGGGTTGCGAGCTTCCCTAGACTCCGAGTAGCCATCAAAATGACCGGCAAGGTACGCTGAGCCTGCAAGGCATGGACCCTCCCCAACAGTCACTAAGGACAAGTAGGATATCAAACCGGCAGCGCCGGTGAGACTTCGCCTCAAGGCAGAGATCGCGTTCATGAACGACAAGTGCCCTTCCTTTTATCTGAAACGTCCCGTCTATGTTTGCTTCTTGGCTGAGGTATCAGACGGCCGTCTCCTGGAGTTTCGACGCATCAGGTAAGCTTGGGATACTGCCGCTATGACAGTCATTCAAGCTGATGTGCCAAGTGCGAGTAAGATGTCGAACGGCCAGGAGATTTTGCTCAATGCGGAATTAAAGGACAGGGACCAATTCGTGTCATGTAGTGTTTCGTGTGACGACATAGGTGAGGGCATGCGTGCCCCTTAGACTCCTTGTCTATCGCTGACGCTGGCTAGCTGGGACACTGAGATCCGCGGTGCTGAAGCCCGAGCTTCCATCGACACTATTCTTTTCTCGTCCGAACACAAGGCCCGAGGCTGCTGCTGCGAAGCCTCTTATCAATGCCTCAAGCTGTAATAGCAACGATGGTTCTCAGAGCAAGCGACCCACTTCACAGAGTGTTATCACTCTGGATAGTGACGAGTCGTTGTTCGACGGGTTGCTGCAGGAAGGTAGGTTCGGCGTCCTGCATAATCCATGAAAGACTACTAACCTGATCTTACAATAGAGGACGACAATTGGTCCTTGAGCACATTGCCAGCGCCCCCAGAAGGCAAAACACAGAAGAATGGCTCGGGTGAGAGCAGGGGCTTTGACAGCAAGGCCAAGACCAGCCACGTTGAAGAACCAACACCAATGGAGAACGGCAGGTGGGCATGTAACCACCGCTGCAAGGATAAGACTGTGTAAGGAGATATGGTACTTTTCTCAAGAGAAGTTACTGACTAGAGTAGGTGCAAGCACTTCTGTTGTCGAGATGGGCTTGACAAGCCCCCAAAGACGAATAAGAAACAGCCATTCCTTGGGGCCGAAAAGTCGAAGGGGCTCAACCAAACAACCCTAGCAGCATCGATGGCCAGGAAGGATGGGAATACAGCTGACGCCGAGCTGTGTGGTGGTTTGAGCTTGACCAAAGAGTCTTCTGCTTCTATGAATCGTAAGTCGCAGAATGGTCCGGAACATGCTTCAGCAAATGAGCCAGCGGAACCTTGGTCCAACGGAGGTCCCAACGGAGATGTGTCGCCTGGCTTAAACGAAGGCAAACTCCTGAGAGAGTCTAGCGATGACACCTTCAGCGATTTCCCTTCACCTGCCGCTTTGTTGCTTGGGGATCAGACAAATGCGAAGAACGATAATGGTGGGCCTTGCAAGAAAGTCGAGATGGACGAAGACACATTAGACCTGGATGACAATTGGTCGGATGATGATGTGTGGCTTGCTGTTCAGTCACCGGTTGAAATACCTTCTTCCACGGAGAAGACTAAGGCTCAGCACACTTTGTCATCTGAATATCGTGTTGACGATTCATCCAATCAATCTAAACAAAGGTAAGGTAGTAGATATCTAGGAGATGACCACTGGCTGACACTA